TGGTTGGGGCAGGAGATGAATAGTCTTATATAAACGTTGGGTTAAAAAAATTATCAGTTGTTACATTTAAGTAAGCACAGTACTTTGTACAGCTTAGTACTATGTTGAACATTCAAAGGATGACAGAAGAACTGTGTACAGGACCATTACAGATAGACTATATTTTGTGCACAGATATGCAACAAGTATGAATTTTATTTTCTAAACTTGTAATGAATAAAAGTTGGAATACATGGCAAATTAGGTCAGTGTTTCCTTGTGCTAAGAAGATCCTGGATTTGAAGCAGGGTGAGGCCTTTCTGTGTGATGTTTTTATGTTTTCTCCGTAAACAGGTTTTTGTCCAGGTACTCATCATCAAAAACATGCATGACAAGTTCTTTGTCTGCCCTAAATTGCCCCTAGGTGTGCATGAATATGTCAAAGATGCAGGCTTCCTCTTATCTATTGACTGCTGGAGGTGGGCGCTAACCCTTTGTGACCTTGCAAAAACAATGAAAGAGTGAGGAAAGAAAGCATTAATTTAAACTATTTGGCTAGGAGTCCAGATGGTGACTTTGCTGATACTGACAATGGTGATTAATAATTTTCTGGAGTTTTAGTATCTTCATAAATTTGTAAAAGTTAGGTTGAGTAAAAATCTAAAGAACAGTTAAACAATTATTGCTTATGGTGTTAAGCTCATGCTGTGTTACACAAGTTCAAAATAAATAAACGTTTTTAATGTCGTTAGTAAAACCAGCTTTCTGATTACACCACAGGTAGAACTCATGAAACAAAATCCCCCTAAAAACAAAAGAAAACCTTGATTTTTAAAATTGTTTTTAATTTTTACAGTAAATAGCAAGCATAAGCCAAACACAGTGGGCTGTTGAGACACCCATGGAGAGGTTTGGCTTAGTTCCACAGAAAAATCGATCTGTTTTGTTTTAAAGACGTGCAGGAATAAATAAACACACAATGGTAAAAAACTGAATGTGGATCACTTGTTGGCAGTCAAAACTGAAACAAAATTGACTTAATAGTTGAAGACTGGACAGGTATATACGATACTGCCATGCAGCGTTGAATGTGTTCACCAGTGTAAAACGGGGACATTTGTAAATTGTAGCTTTTTATTTAGTTTGTTCTTTGTAAAAGTTTCTTCTTTGTTCTCTTTGTAACATTGCTCCGTTTGTCTTCAGCGGTCGCCACAGCGAATCATCCGTCTCCGTTTAGTCCTTATCCTCTACATCTTCTACCCTCACACCAACTAACTTCATGTCCTGCTTCACCACATCCATAAATCTCCCTTTTGGTCTTCCTGGTTTTGATGTCTGTTGGTGTTTCACTGGGGTGTTTTAGCTTGGTTTACACTTTTAGAGTTATCCAAGAAGAATGTGGTTTTCCAATTTTAAAAAAAAGGAAAAATGTAAATCAGGAACAAAAACAAACCATCATGCCCTGTTAAACTTTTGCTCATCTTGCCTTCAGTTTAAATGAAGGCAAGATGGATACGTCTGATGGCCGATATGCACCTACATTAGGATGACACTGAATTTTGGGACATGTTGAAAAACTCTGATTTCATTCTTGCAACTTGTAAACAACACATACAGATCGCATGGTCCCATGCTACAGAATTTAATGCTGCTCCGTCTGCACCAGTGCGCTGTTGTCCATCGGCGAAAAGTTTTCAGACCTCTACATTAGGGAAGCAAAACAAAATCGACTCAAGAGAAAGAGCAGCAAGAAAGAACAAGTTAATCAGATCAGCATTTATGATGCTCAGAGAGGTTTGTATATACTTTATGTACCTTTGTTGACAACAACTCCCTTGGACTCCTATCACGTCTGGATATTTACTTGGGAATTGGAGTTTGGGGTGTTCTGGTTACAGGTCAGGTGTTTATTTCCTTTTCATTTTCTCATATGCATGTTAACAACCTAAAATAATTTGGGAATGGGAACTGTCCCCCCGATAAGGGACCTGTTCAAAGAAACAGTAAAATTTTACATTTGTTTTGACGTGATACAATTCGAGTCAGAAAATCATGAACATCGTATCAACTCTCGGCTTTAAAGCCTTACAGTGGTTCCTTTTTCAAGGGGGAGTAATTCCTAAACAGTTCATGTCATTCCAAAAGCAACAATGTTGTGGGCATATCTGAGCTTATAGATTTTCCTTCATCCAACCTGACTAATATTTGAATAAATGCCTCTTAGCAAGTTGCTCTTCAAATACACATTTTTTGTTGCCATGAACAAACCTCTGGCAAAACTCTGGGTGGATATTTGACCACTCCTTTGGGAAGAAACAGTTAAGTCCAAGGGTTTGCGGTTGGACATTCAAGAAACTTGACTATCCAAAACCAGTTTGATAGTCCTGTTTATGAGCTCTGTTGGAACATCCAACTATGTTCAAGTTTTGTTCATTTTAGCCAAACTGTCACCATTATATTAAACGAAATCATTTGGGATGTTTGGAAACAACCTGGGAACCACAAGGTCTCCAGGCAATTATTGAGAACAAGTTACTGGAATTTTAGTGTCTTTGTTCACAATGAAGTCAGTCTGGCATCAACATGGACTGAGAGGATTATAAAGAAGGAGGCATTCCTGGAAAAGTAACACCTTTAACTCCAAGTTGAATGTGCGACTGTTGACCTGGATGATCTAAAGGCCTTCTGGAGAAAAGGTTTATGGTCAGAGAGACAAAGATGAAGCTTTATGACAAAAACTACTGTATGTTTGGAGAGGTTAAAGTGATTCTTTTATGCTACTGGCTTGTTTCACCGTTCTATGCAGTGACATTATGCCTAAAATCAAGGTCTCTAGCCAAGCAACTTAAATGAACCCAAACATTTATGACAACACAAATGGCAAAATATTAATCTTGAAGTATTCCAGAACATTGCTGATGGCATGTATTCCTAAATGTTAGGAAACACTTAGCTATACATTAGCAAGTAAGAGGATATGTATAATTCAAACTGTACATTGTTAGACATATATGTGTGTGTGTGTGTGTGTGTGTGTGTGTGTGTGTGTGTAGGTGTGTGTGTGTGTGTGGATGTGATTCCTCTACTTATTATGACATTAACAACCATAATTAATGTATTTGTAAATATCTGATTGAAAAAATGTGACTTATATGTTCTCACAAGTAGTCTTCAATCAAAGTAATGGAAGTAAGTTAAATAAAAGAGAACTGTGTCATTTGTATGTTTACAGAATATCTAATAAAAACAGATTTTAGAGCTGAATTCAAAAGATAAAATTATATGAACAAATTCAAACCTTGACTTCGTATTCTCTCAAAAATATTTAACAGCTATAAATGCATTTTTGATTATGTCCTTGAGTAAGCGAAGCATACAGACATCGCTCTGAGTGTCTGCGTGTGTGTGTGTGTGTTTGTACGTGTAATCTTCCCGTTTCTGACTGTTGAAGCACGATGATTAAGAACCAGCTTTCAGTGCGAGAAGGTATCATAATCAAACATGGTGTTGCAACCTTTTAATCTCCAGCAGCAGTTGACTAACATCCCATCTCCCAAAATGACAGATGATTGGTCGGCCCCTGTGGAGCCCGGTGACATTATGGTAATTGTCATTACCGGGGCTGGGGGTGCTTGCGTGACCGACGCCATTAGAGAAAGTGCAATTACAGTGGGCTTTTGGTGACCTTGCTGATGAGTGGAGGTCAGGGCTTCTCATTAGAGTGTGGTGGAAGGCAGCCCAGTGTCTCCTCTGTGCCAATCAATAAGAGCGTAGCTTGGTCGCTGCTAATCATAGCTTTGACGCAGCCTCACGCCCTGGCCACCGCCACCCGCCCCCAACTCCACACCCAACCTCTTTCTGTGTCCCACCATTTATCAGATTTTCTACCAAAGCTAAGGTGGGAAAAAGCAGTTAAAACAATGTACTTATATCATTTTAGATATATACATGCTGTAGAAATATAAAGGTTAACAGGAGCAGATTCTACTTAACTTAAGGGTAGGACGGAAAGCGCTGGCTCCAGGAGGCACATGAATAATGGCAAACGGTGTATTGCAGGAGAATGATAACAGAGGGCTTTTCCAGGTGTGAATAAACAGAGGCAATGGATACATGTAGAGGCTTAACACACCCAAAGCTCAGGTTTTGTGACTTTGCAGGCCCAGTTTAGGGACAGCCCATCATTTCCTCAGGCTTCTTTCCTTTAACCAGCACTTGCTCTTAAAACTTTCCCTCATACATGCCTCAGTATCTTATCTGACTTCTGTTAAACTATCTGTTTAGCTATTTCAATGCAGATTTTGGTTATGGCATTCAGTAACAGTGAAGCATCAATTTTTGTCTTCCAAAACCATAGTTATGGATTCGGTTTTTTTAGTTTCTTGTTTTGGCAGGAACTGATCACACACAAAATATGATGCCTCGTGGCTAAGAAAACGATTCAGCTGCCCAAGAAGTAATAAACATCATAACAGAGCAAACACAATGTCAGTTTTACCCTTGTTAATCACTTCTCAAGAAGTTTTATTATTCTTTGTTTCAAATCAAAATGCGTTCACGTTTTGCTTTTTTTCCTGCTTAATTTTAACACTAAAGAATATATTGTCTGTGGCTCACACTAGTCACATTTATTTTCTTCTTCTGGACTAAAATTTGCAGTCGAATAGTGACTTTGGAAGTTTGGGTATGACTGAATGATACAATGGCCACCAAAGACATCAGCACCAAAGTCTTTTTGGCAAGAAAACAAACCGTTTTGCGTTTACAGCAGCAGTTAGCCACACTCTGAATTTCCAGACAACACATCATTTTCAATAGTGAAGATTATGTTTAAAATTACCTTAATGCTTTGAAAAGCAATTTTGATTTATTCGCGTTTGATACTTAATATTGATGTTTTCTCATTCCAAAGAAGAGCGAAGTTTGTTCTTCAGTATCAGACTGGAAGATGCTTATAGTTGCATTTTTAATTTAAAAGCAAAAATTCTTCACAGTAACCTCTAATAAAAACCCTAAGAAAACTTAGAACAATACAACAGATTTTATCCAGGGGCTATGTTTGAACTTTTGCAGTGCAAATTAAGATCCCACAACGTACTGATGACACACAACTTTATCAGTTTTCCGTCTTGTTGATGAAGACGCTGCATTATTAATATGCTGAGCCGAGGAACCGTTAGCGCTGCGGTGTGATGGAGGTGTGCTGCGCCATGAGCTCTGTCCACGGCGGTGTGAGGTATGCGGTATGGCTTGGGGGCAAGTAGTCAGGCAAACAGGCTGCGAGCCAGTTGTTGAGTTGTCTGCAGAGAGAGAGAAGGGGGGAGGAGGGTAGCTTGGCTGGAAAACTCTAGATCTGCCACAGCTCTTTTTCACCGTTTGCACTCCAGTGGTTTAGTCACCAGACCTGCCTATTAAATCAAGGACCTCCTTTGAATGAGAGTGACAATTATGCCCCGATGAGTTGCAACCCCCCTCCACCCATTCTGTTCCACATCCTGTCCCTTTGCTTTTTTTTTTTTTTTTTTATAACATTCCCTACCTACTCCGTTTCATCCTGCTTCCACCAGTTTCTTCCTTTGCTCTGTGTGACTTGTTTTTTCAGGTCTCGGTCAAATGGGAAAACACTGCGTTGCATCTCTGGCCTTCTCTCAGTGTCTGTGCAGCTTCTCTGAAGAATAAAGAGACGAAGGTTTTCATTTGGCAGTGGGAACACTAATTGTGGCAGCAGTGTAAAACACGCATCCCATGACTATTATGACTTCATATGTCTCGTTTGCTGAGGTTCTGTCATTTGGATCAGGAGGGACAGGAGGAGCAGAACTTTTAACTAAGCTTGTGATGTGGCATGAGGGACAGAAGTGTCCTCCTATCTGTCTGGCATATTAGAGCCGAATGAAATATGTCAACAACTTCTGAATGGATAATTTTTTAGCACAGGTGTATGTGAAATATTTGATTTGAAGTCTCATGATCGCTAGAGTTTAGTTAAAAGAAGGAATAATCTTTGAAGAGGTAGATAAGTCAAGTCAATTCTGTTTGTATAAGAAATTTCAGCAAAACGGCAGCTTTACATGTCAAAACATAAAATAATACTCAATTATGAAAAAAAGCAACAAGCAACATTTGGCTGTCATCAAGAATTATCATCAAATTTACATCAAATACTGCATATCAATCAATGTTCCTGTTATTAATCAGAGGCAACTTTATATAGGTGGGTTTGTGGCTTTTATTTAACTGTTTCAGCAGTTTTGCAGTTTTCTGGAAGTTTGTTCCAGATTTAAGAACTGAATGCTGCTTCTCCATGTTTGGTTCTGACCCTGTGGTCGCAGAGAAAACTTGGACCAGGAGACCTGAGTGGTCTGGAAGGCTGATACGACAACACATCTTTAATGTACACTGCCTGGCCAAAAGAAAAACTGCCGCCTGAATTTAACTGCGCAAATAGGTCCAAACTTCCTATTGGATAGTTACTGCATGGACAACTGTCTTTTTACAAGAAAAAAAATTAAAAATAAAAAAAATCTAAGGAGATTGGAGAAACTGCTAAAGTTTGGTTTAAATCTAGGCACTGTTGCTTTTTATTTTAGATCTTTTAGTTGACTTCATGTTGTCGTCTTTTCAGGTTGACAAAAAATCTTAGGTTTAACGTGTGAAAATTAACTACAAATTACGATATGACAAGGGGGCAAAGACAAGTCTCCAAAGGCTTGTTTCGTGTCAACTTGTTTGCTTTGAAAAGAGTGAAAAATATTAACGATGATTTATTTAAGTGTCACGCTTTGAAATGTGTTTGTTTTCTGGCTCAACAAATATCAACCCAGTTCAAATGTTTAGTCACCAAGAAGAGCCACAAAAGTGAACAATGTGAGCAAGTAACATTCAAACTTTGTTCAGAAAAGATTAGACGGGAAAACCGTCAGAATAATCCTCATGGATATGAAACACTGTCATGAACATTTGGCTGGAGCTTAGTTTCACCGTGCAGTTTACCTGCGTAGGATGGGAGTGGTTTCAAATATCATCTTACTGCATATTTCAGTTGCAGGGAGTCTGACAGGCTCCACACTTGCAAGTGTAACCGTCGACTCTGGAAAATGTTGTCCTTCACTTCAACTGGGTCTTTCCGTCTTTCTTGACCAGTATCAATATGTGAGCAACTTGAGTTTTTGAATACTCAACTCTTGACCCCAAACACACAGAATTACTGAATATGCTTCTTTCTCCAACAAAATGGCACTTTTAAACAGTAAAAAAAAAAAAGAAAAAAAGTTAATTGAAAGACAGCCATAAAAAGTCTCCCCATAAGCCATGAAGGAAGTATAGCAAACATGTGGAAGAAAGTGCTCTAGTCAGAAGAGACAAAATCTATTTTTCATCCTACAAAAAATTCTTACCAACATTTTTCATCTCTCCTAAAAGGACATATAGCTGTAATTGCATCAGTGGATCTGTAAGGTATTGACTCTGGGGACTGAATACAGATACACGACACTCATATGCACAAACCGGAATTACTTCTTTAAATGTGTGAAAACCGTGCAACATTTTTAAGATAATTATTTCAAAACATGAAATTTAAAAAAATCAAAATGACCTCCATATGACTAAGTCAACATGTTTGTAAAGCTCAAATTAATAATTAAATAATTGTGAGCACATCAAGTAGCTGAATTTAGCAAATTTATACCTCTTAAATCAGCACAAAAAAAAGTCAGTAAAAATGTGTTTTTCAACTGAAATATGCAAGATTTTACTGTTTCACCTTTCTGTTGTATTTAAGAGGGGATCTGATAAGACAACTACTCGTCCCACCGAACGGTTGAACCACTTGGGCGACAATGGATGGATGAACAAACTGGGGGTTCAATGGATGGACTAAGGCTGGATGGACTGAGGGGTTGATGAATAGCTGTACCGAGGGTTGGTGGACGGAGAACCAGACGGATGGACAATCTATGGGGTTGATGAATAGACGAACCAAGGGGTCAGTGAATAAATGGACTAATAGACAGACTGAGGGCCACTAGATGGACAGACAGAGATGACCACACTGAGAAGTTGATAGGATAGGCAGATCATTGGATAGATGGACAGACGGACAGATGGACTGAGGGGTCAGGACATGGACAATTGGACAGATGGATGAACTTAGGGGTTAGTGGATGGACAGATGGATGGATGCTAATATTTATCTTAGAAGCAATGCGAAAAGAAAAAGGTCTTAAAATACAACAGAGTTTTTCTTTTCTTTTACTTTACACCTATCCAGACCTAAAAACAAATACTAGAATCAAATTCTACACCTCTTAAGACTTTCTAAGACTGCAACTTTAAGTGTCATGGCAGCATTGTTCCCCTACGTTTCAGGTGAAACAGATTTTAAGGAGTACAGTGGAAGAAGCCTTTCCATTTCATGTCAATGCCAAGCAGTGACAAGCAACAGATTTATTTAAAACACAGACGTTTCTTCTTACTGCTTTGCCCGTGTCTGCGTTGGGAATGAACTGAAGACTCTGGTGCAGGCACACAGCATTACAGAGCAAGCCGCACCCCTATACCTCCAGGCAATGCTCCAGCTCTGCACGCTGCTCATACGCCACGCTCTGCTTCCCTCTCTTGCTTGGCCCTTAACTCTCTGGTCAGCACTCCACCTAGCTCCAGTTCTTCTACTCTGCTTCCCAAATGCTTAATGACCTTCCCTCTACAGCATGAACAGCAGCTGCTACCTGTCTTTGGATTTTGGCACAAACAGTGTTGCAGAACCCAAATCTGCCTTTACAAAGGCTTTATTTCGTCTTCCTCCGATTAAAACTTGAACAAAGCTTTTTTTTTTTTTTTCCAGGGGTCCCAATAACTATAATGCAGTGTCTCTTTTTCCCCCAATCACAAAGGTTCATGAAATTTTCTCATGAATACCATGAAGCAGGCACTCAAGAAGGGATACAGGGAGTACGTCACCAAGCCAAAAACAAATTCAACAAGGCAATCAGGCTTGAGAGTAAGGTTGCCAACAGTGACTCATTCTGCAGAAAAAGAGTGAAAAAGACTCCTTATTCTTTCTCTTCAACAGCCTTAGCCCCACTTATTGTCTCATGAAGCAGTAAATCCTACTTATTCAGCCTTCCTATGTTTGTAGGTCATAGGTTATTGTACAGTATATATGCAGATGATGAAATGCTCTCATTTAATTGTAAGAATACTTTAAAGTATGTGCTAAAAGTAAAAAAAAAAAAAATCCCAAAAATTTATCACTGAACACAATGGTGGCATAATTTAGATTCAAAGCCATGACGTATTATCCTGCTAGAAGTGGAAATCTGCGCACCGAGACAGAAATGGTTAACAACAATACTCAGGTTGGCTGTGGCATTTAAATAACACACAGTTGCTAATAAGGGGCCCAAAGTGTGATGGAAAAAATAACTCCACACCAACATACCAACACCAGCAGTCTAAACTATTGATTTTGTTGTTTTTTTTTTTTTTACACTAAATTCTGCATACTGTAGTTGTAACAAGTGGCTATATGAGCTGTTGTTGCCTTTCTATCATTTGAACCAGTCTGGCCATTCTTATCTGACCTCTGACATAAACAAAGCATTTTCCTCCACACAGCAACTGCATGTTCTCTTGTTGGCATTCCCTGTAAAGAGAAAATCCCAGTAGATCAGCAGTTTCTGAAATACTCAGACCGGCTCTTCTAGCACCAACCACTATGCCAGATTCAAAAATCACTGAAATCCCTTTTCTTCTCCATTCTGATGCTCAGTTTGAACTTTAGCAAATTATCTTCATGTCTAGATGCCTGCAAGTAAACATATACCCAACTGATGCTGCTTGTGAGTTTGTTAGTCAGTATTAATATATTTAAACTTATTAAGGTAGGTCGTAATAGAAGTTAACTACTCATGTATGACCTCAGTAAGTAGTTTATAGCCCTAAAAAAACCCACGTCTTAAGAAAGTATACCATTTGACCCTTAAAAGAGCCTCAAACTCCCGCATTAGCTAGCTAGCCATCATATCTAGGCTCTAATTCAATTTTGCAGGAGTTGTTTTTATTTTCACCCTCTCTAGTTTTGCCATCTACAGCCATACGGGCACAGTGGAGAAGAAGGGAAAGGAGATGGCCTGGTCTGAGTGGGTTCACCTTTCAGTGGGTGAGACAGATGCTTGTTTACTGGCCTCATTATGTCAGCAGCTGTCCTGAGCAGGTCACTCGGCGGTCCTCTGTCCACCTACTGAGACACATAAGTCCAGCACCTGCCAGGGGACACACTGTAAAGCATAGTAGACAT